AATTCGCAGACTTTAAAAAAGCACCTAATGGAAAAACTAAAAAATCTGTAGCAAATTATTTAAGCCTTCTACAAATTAGCGTCTGTAGCTGATTCCTTTCCGTATACCCTAAAAAAGCACCTAACGGAAAATTTGAAAAATCTGTAGCATAATTTCCCATAAAACATTCTACATATTAGCATCAGCATCTAATTGACTCCGCACACTTATAAAAATCATCCAAATTGTTTATAAATACAGTACATATACCTTTGGTAGTCTCCTTCCATGGCAGCCATCTGAAAAATAATTCTTTGTAAATCCAGTTTAAAAATTGAATATTACGAATTAATTATTACATAAATTATAATTGCAAACATGAATTCTAATTGCAAACACAAATTGTAATTGTAAACATGAATTACTATTGTAAAACAATTTCTGTTTCATTAAAGCCAGGTAAATTTTTTAAACCTGGTATGTAAATATAAAGAAATGATGTAAGAACAAGTGGTGTGTGATAAGAGGTTTCCCTATATACATCATGTATATATATAATATAAGGCTGAAATAACCGACATGCGCGAGTTTCGTACACATAAAGATGGCGTGTTAGATTCTACTGTATACCGAAAATTGGCTACACCTCCAGCTGATAAAATGTAACCAGCGGCTTCCACGTGTATAAAAAGGAGGGTCGTGTTTGGTTAGATATCACCCTTATGCCCAACTGCTAACAAGGGGCGGAGTCCTACCAAACGAGCTCACCTGCCTTCCTCTATATACTGGCCTCACACATTTATATATATATACTCGCACATTAGGTTTTCAAATAGCCAACTAATGTGCCTTGTTTAACAAAATTTTCAATCTTTTCTTAAGTTTACATTTGCGGTTTGATTGTAGTATTTAATATATAAAATGATGCTTTAACCAAAATAGGTTACAATAATCGTGAAACGTTTCTTTAATTAAAATGGGTTTTATTATATTTAATATAATTTCATGATTATTGTAATAATGATTCTTCAACCGAAATGGGTTGTACTGTACATATAATAATTGTGAAATGATTCTTTGACAAATTCTTTTGAATTGATAAAATTCTAATAATACTAGATGTTATGAAAGTTATCATCGTCATTCAGAGCAGTTTGAATGAAAGCATTGTTGATTAAATACGAATATAGGAAATCCCAAAGAGATGTTCATGGAAACGATGTCCAATCAAATTATAATAATTTAATTGCGCTGATAAATATTTTTTACTAAGTGAAAAAGAAATTATGGTTGGTATAATCAGAACTCTTGTTATATTTCATAAGCAGAATAGTTGTTATATAGAAAAGATTAGGATTTAGGGTAACATGATTCTGATTAGATTAATCAAAATTCTGGTTATTACGATACCATTATTATTATTACGTACCATTAAGTTATTACGTACCATTACGATTCTATGGTTAGATTAATCCGAATTTTGGTTAATCCGAATTTTGGTTAGATTAATTGCAATTCTAGTTGAATTAACCACAATTCTGTTATAACAGAGAACTCATTCCAACTAAAATTTTAGTTAGGTTTCATTATGATTTAGGGTAACATATGTTTCGGGTCAGTTTAATCAGAAACCCATAATAACCAAAATTCCAGTTAGATTAATTGCAATTCTAATTAGATTAACCAAAAACTTTCCTCTTATCATTCCCTCTGTAAAAGCACCAGAAACATGAAACATTCGCAATGAGACATTAGACTTATAACAACTTGGGTATTGCAAAAGTGGTATGTCGCGACTCAAGTCTAGAAAAAAAAAAGAAGAGCAGATGAGGCGTGGAGAGGTGGTGCAGGAGGCTTGAAGAGCACGGTCCGATTAGCAATCGCCATGGAAACAAGCAGTTGATGCGATCAGTTCGCGCATGAGAGGAAAGGGCTGCGTTCGATGTGCGCCTATATTCCCTGCCGGGGCTATAGGTATATATATATATATATATATAAACCATCGTATTTAAAGCATTGCAATGATGATGGTAGACCCATGGTGAGGTTAAGGGGGATGAGAAATAGATTGGGAGGAGAGAGAGAGAGAGAGAATGAGAGAAAAGAGAATCCGGGAGAAAGCAGCAGTTCCCGTTCTCTCGGCCGGCTGCCTGTTATCATGAGAAACAAGCTTCCACTCTGATTTTTTAATCCGATCCCACCCACCCCTCTCTTTCAACTGAATTTTAAAATAACTGCAGAACGCCATTTGCTTCTCGCAAACAGACCGGGGTTAAGCTTTTGCTCTCCTTCTCTCTCTCTCTCTCTCAATTTCCCCTCTTTTTACCACTTTCTCCTACTTTTTCCATATCTCTACCTCTATACTATATATTTCTCTTTTGATGGCACTATTTTTTATCCCCTTTCTTTTATGCCTCTTTTTGATTTTGATGCAGCTTTTTTCAATATCGCATATACTCTTTGGTATGTGCGAGCGCCAGAGACGGATGGATAGGCCAGGACAGATAGAGAGATAGATATATATGAAGGCCTCTCTCGGATGCCAAATTGAAATGTTTAGCGCGTCGTTTCAGTGTGATCCATATATATATAGAGAGAGAGAGAGTCGAGCCTCTAGGCGCGCACATCCCTTGGTAGCAAAGCGCGCGCAGATAAGTGACAGTTTTATTAATTTCCCATCTCTCTGGCTACAATGCCACCCACTGATGTCACTCCTGCGAACACGAACACACAAACTTATATATATATATATATATATATATATATGTATATAGATATGGCACACGTTGTGCCTCTACATCAAGGGTTGGTTGGGATGTGAAATAAAGCTCAATAATGGCGTCGCGCCGTGACGGTGCCGCCACCCAACTTTCCACCATCCTATGTACTGTCTCTTCCATCTTTCAAGACCCGCGGGACAACCTTGGATATACTTTATTGTTTAATTTTATCATCATTTTTTTTTGGTTACGGAAGCAAAATTTTAATATATGTTCGAAAATCCAAAATGAACTAAGTTCAATTGAGGTTTGGTATAATCTAAAAGGTGCTTCTATGACAAAGTTTAGTTTCTTTTTTTGTCGGTTTCTATATTTACAGAGGCTCATAAATTTTTCGTCATTACTGCCATAATAATTCTACTCGATTCTGTTGTATCATTCCTAAATTATCACGGGAACGTTACTCGGCCATATACCATTTGGCAGTATACCAGATGAGAGCAGGATGTGTGAATCAGACTTTACTAATATAACCTAACTTACATGCCAATTTGACTAATTGTACGATTCCGTTTTGTACAGAAAGACGTCCATTTTAATTGTTTTTGAAATTTGTTGTCTACTAACAATTTTTACTGTGATTTATAAATCCAAAATTGCAAATTAATCTATATTTAAGTATACCATTTCTAAATTTAGTACTATTTGTGAATACAAAGAGCCATTTAAAAATAAGAATTGTACCGAATTCCACCGAAATTTTTGACCAAAAAGTACAGATTTTTACATAACCGAACTGCATTGGTTGAAGCAACCATTCCTTGTTTCAAACAACCTTAGGTTGAATAGAATCAGCAGTGGATTTTTTGGGGTCCTTGATACAATGGTTTAAGTAATTTGTTTATTTCAAACAAACAGAATCTGTAAGAGATTTTTTAAGGTACTTGATGCAATGGTTGAAGCAACCATTTTATTTGTTGAAGCAACCATTCCTTGTTTCAAACAACCTATCTAGTTGAATAGAATCTGCAGTGGATTTTTTGGGGTCCTTGATACAATGGTTGAAGTAATTTGTTTGTTTCAAACAAATAGAATCTGTAAGAGATTTTTTAGGGTCCTTGTTGAAGCAACTATTTTATTTATTTCAAACAACCTATGTAGTTGAATAGAATCTGTAGTGGATTTTTTAGGGTCCTTGATACAATCATATTGAAACTAGATGTTTGTTTAAATGTTTCGTTGGGGTCCTCTTTAGTAATTTATTATTTTCTGCTACATATTTTACAACTAATGAATTAAATATTTTAATGACTATATTCCCTAGCTGTAAAATATGTAGAAGAAAATAATAAATTACTAAAAATCACCCCAACCTATGGCCGATACGTTTAAACAAATAGTTTAGTTTGTATCAAAAACCCTAAAAAATCCACTACAGATTCTATCATTTGGGTCGCAAAATCAAAAATTCTATCTACTATCGACCATACTCAGATTGGTTATATCTGAAACTATTTTACAGATTCCAACTTTATTGTTCCAAAAATTCCGAATCGAAACAAGATTTTATTAAACCATACAAAAAGGCAAAAAAATTTCGCATATTTACCAAAACTTTTACCGCAGCCATTTTCGACTTTTGAGCCCTATAAGAGAATAAATTTTCAAACGATGAAAATGATAGTCACAATTAAATTTAGAGACGAAGCTATAGATTCTTATCTGTTTGAATGAAAGGCAAAAAAAATCCTAAGGAGATATCTGAAGAAGTCTCTCTCTCTCTCTCTCTCTCTCTCTCTCTCTCTCTCTTTTTCTCTCTACCGTTGGTGGTGGAAAATTTAATTTCGATCCCGTCGATTCAGCAGTTATATCCAAGTTTAATCTTTGATAAGGGTTAGTCTTTTAGTAATGGGATCCCGGAGGGTCGGTTGGACCAACCGAGACTGGGATGAGTGGAAAAAGGGACTGCGAAGATGGTAGAAAGGAAGCTTAAACCGTTAGATAGAGATCTCTGCCTCAGGACGAAAGTAATACCTACCGCTTATACCTTGAACTCGACTTTTATACGGTTGAAGCGTAACGAGCCTCACGATTGGATAACTTTTCCGACGCCAACTTTCCTCCAAGAGAGGACTCGTGTTTTTTTTTTTTTTTTTTTACTTGAAATCGAGTGTCATCCCAAGTTCTGCAAAACTCTCTCTTATTCCTTTTTTTTAACTTTCCGTTTTATAAATATATATTTACCGGAATCATAGTACTAAAATAGTAATAATAATTTATTTTCTTTTTTTTTTGTTACAGTTATGGGGTTGATTTGAATGGAGCAAGGAGGAAGAATGCAACCCGCGAAACTACCAGTACCCTTAAGGCTTGGTTAAACGAGCATAAAAAGAATCCATATCCAACGAAGGGGGAAAAAATAATGTTGGCAATTATTACAAAAATGACATTGACACAAGTGTCGACGTGGTTTGCTAATGCCCGACGGCGATTAAAGAAGGAGAACAAAATGACGTGGGAGCCAAGAAACAGGGTGGAAGATGAGGACAATAATAACGAAGACGATGATAGTGGAAGGAAGAGTGTCGATGACAAGGATCGATTAGGTAAATTCTAGAAACCGCACTTTTATACAGAAAGGATAGGTCATAAAAATACAAAAAACGATGCTTTTAAATTTTAGATTTGTAAATTAGAAAATTCTTTTTTATTTTTTCTAGATTCCAAAGACTCAGGGACTGGATCAAGTGAAGATGGCGATCGACCAGCTCATCGTTTGGATCTTCTTCATGGATCGAGTGGAGCTGGTGGATTTCCGGTGAAAGCTGAAAGTGAATGGAGTGAATCGCGAGCGGACAGTGGTCCAGATAGTCCGGAATGTCTTTTTGATCAAAGGGAACCAAGGCATCCAATGCAACTTCAACATCCGGCGTATTTACCATCGTCGCGACTCCTTCGTCATCCATCGCCCGAGGCAACATCACCAGGAAGTCATCATCTACCGCCAAGTACGAGTGCCACTTCAACCGGAAGTGCAACCACCAAACCAAGAATATGGTCCCTCGCCGATATGGCAAGCAAGGATGGTGATCAGCCTAGTCCAAATTCAGCGAGTCTTGTGTCTCCCTTTACATCATCGACGGGTGGTGGTGGTGGTGGAGGGGGAAAACTCGTCAGCCCCCTAGCAAGTAGATTACCACCTCATCATCCACTTCATCCGGCAATGCATCCCGGTTCACAATTTGTTAGACCTCATCCTGATTTTTATAGAAATTTTTACGGTTCTCTACATCAGGGTTCAGGTGATATGTCCCTTCTTGAAACGTATTCAAGAACATTAGGTGGATTGGGTGCTGCACCGGGAATTTTAACACCCACCTCCTCATCATCGTCTGATGTTAAACCCTTTTCAACTGATGTCAAATCATTTTCCACCGATGCCAAATCATTTTCCCCCGATGTTAAAACATTTAATCAAGATACTAAATTTACCACTGATGTTAAGCCTTTTTCAACAAATGGTAGCGGATTAAATAGATCACTAACAACATCATCGGGTGTTTCACCATCTTCATCATCGTCATCTGGCTCAACAGCTGGATCTGAACCACATCATCCGCCAACGGAATTAAAATCACCCGGACGACTGTGATTTTCCCTCGGGTGATTGAAAGACAATTTTTTTCATGACAATAAGAGACTATAAAATTTTTTGTAAATTAGTGTACAGAATATAATGCAAAAAAATGAAACCTTTCTTTCTCCTGGAGAAACGGATGAGTTACCCTGCTGCTTCCATGAAAAATATTTAAAAGAAAAAAAAAAAAAAGAGTAGTAGAATCCAGAAGTAGTAGTGAAATTAACGAAATACTTTTTAGATAGTATCGTATAAATATTATACATACCATACATACAAAAACAAATATAAAAAAAAAAATTATTAATATTATTTATGCGTCTGTAAATAGTAGGCCTGGTACATCCAGCCAGTGTATGTATTGTATGTAGAGTAGTGTGATAATTATTAAAATTGTATTAAATTGATAATTATAAAATAATTATTATTACGCAGTATAATAATTATTATTATTGTATCTGAAATCATTATATTCATACTAGCAATCGATGACAATTATTATTGCGACAATGATGATTATTGTTATTGCAATGTTTATAATATAAATATCGATTCATGCCTCGACATGTCAAGTTTTTGGGGTCATTAAATCCTTTCTTTTTTTTTTTGTTGATGACAATTTGTGAATCGAATCTCTTAAATGATTAAGAAAAAAAATTTGTTCTTTTATTATAATGCAATAAAAATTTTTGTTTTTCATTTATATATGAGAATCGATTAACAAAAATGTCAAAAATTAATTGTACTTCCAATTTGCGTCGCTTTCTTCTCAATAATAATTATATTGAACGAATGTGTTTTGAGAGTCTATTTGGAAAAGAAAGAAAAGAGAGCTTCTTTTTTTTAGACAATGAAGTGGTGACGCAAGGAATGTCCACATATCATGTCATGTCGTGAGTGAACGATCGCCAGTCATTCGTATCCAAATTTCATCGCCAACCTGCCGATACCACATTGGCAACGGCGGGTGGGCCTCTGTCCTTCGCAATAAACGAAATCATTACGAAATCATTAAAAAAAAATATATATATATCTCTCTCTTTTTTCTCAATTTACCTATCAATCATCCTTAATCCAATTTTTCTTTGATTTTTTTTCTCACTATTTTTCGTTTAAATTAAATAATAATGCAAAAAAATAATAATAATTTTAATAATTAAAAAAAAAATTAATTTTAAATAAAATTATTTTTTAATTAAATTTTTTTATTTATTTGCCAAAAAGTTTAGAATTTTTTTTTTTTTTTTTGAAATTCAAATATAAAGAGAATTTTTTAAATAAATAATTTACATTTAATTGTAAAATTATTTAATTTTTATAAACAATTGCAATTTTTTCAAAATAAATTTATCTTTTTTTCAATAATATCTTTTTTAAATAAAATTTTCTATTGAATTAATTCAGGTGTAAAATTACTACAAAAAAAAGCGTCATCGCAAATACATTCACAGGAAATAGAAAATCCGATTCCGTTTACATTTTGAAAGCAAAATTACAATATCAGACAATTTTTTGGCTCAAAATAATTTTGAATCAATTTTTGGGCTTAAAATAAAGCTAATGGAGGCTATATTTATTCGCAAAAATAAACAATTTTGAGTCCAAAGTGGATTGAAATCAAATTTTATTTTTTTGTTGTCATTTATTAATTTATTTTTTTTATTAATTTTTATAAATTTTTGCAATCAGAATTTATATGAAAGTATTTTTTTAAAAATAAGCAAACATAAAAATCCAGAATGCAATTTAAAAGAATTTTATTTTCTTAATAATAATAAAAATAATAATAATAATAATAATAATAATAATAATAATAATAATAATAATAATAATAATAAAAATAATAATAATAATAATAATAATTATAATAATAATAATAATATTGCGAATATTTCACGGCAATGTTCAAGCAAAATTGCTGGAACTTAACAATATTGCAGCAATATTACATGATAATATAGTGAATATTTCCAGGTAATATTGCGGCAAGGTTACATGGCAATACTGTAAATATTGCACGACAATTTGAGTCAATATTGCATGAACCTTATATGACAATATTGCAGGGCAATGTTGAGGTAATATTGCGGCAACGCATTTATTATTTCCATTTTGTAGAACACAATAATCAATGTTGCAGCAATATTGCTGTGAAATATTGGCGATATTTTAATATAATGTTGCCGCAATATTGCCTGGAAATATTCACTATATTATCATGTAATATTGATGCAATATTGCCGTGTAATATTCGTAATAATACTCTAATATTTTCGTGTAATATTCGGAATATTTCTATTTAATGTTGCGACAATATTTCCATAAAATATTCACAATGTTACAATGTAATGTTGCCGCAATATTACCTGGAAATATTCACTATATTATCATGTAATATTGCTGCAATATTGCCGTGTAATATTCGTAATAATACTCTAATATTTCCGTGTAATTTTTAGGAATATTTCTATTTAAAGTTGACGCAATATTTCCGTGATATATTTGCAATTTTTTTTCCTTAATGTTAATACAAAATTGTAGGGCAATATTCGCAATATTTTTTAGTTACATTGCAGCAATATATTACCGCGAAATATTGTCGGTGTAATGTTGCCGCAATATTGCCTAGAAATAATTTCGTGTAATATTCGCAATAATTCCATGCAATATTTGGAATATTCTTATTTAATGTTGCAGCAATATTTCCATAAAATATTAGCAATATTATCACGTAATGTTAATGTAATATTTCCTAAATATAACCGTGAAATATTTGCAAAATATTATCATGGAATGTTCATGCAACATTGCCATGCAATATTAGCAATATTTTTTAGTTAATGTTGCCGCAACATTACCATGCAATATTAGCAATATTTTTTAGTTAATGTTGTCGCAACATTGCCGTGCAATATTTGCAAATATTGTCACATAATAATTGGGTCATTTTTTTTATTATTTCAATTTATTTTGCTATAATAAAAAAATATTTTACTATATTAAATAATATCTGTGATTAAATTTAAAAAAAAAAAAAAAAATTTCAACATTATCAAACGGAAATCTTAATTTTTGGTAAAAATATTAAGAAGAATCGAGGCACTATCTAAAAGTTACATATACATATATAAATGCGCTCACTGAAAAAGACAATAGATGAGACATGGCATCACGTTCATCGAAAATAACCGCAGAGACTGGAGCAGATGAATATGAAACGAAGGATTCTTAGAATCCGTTGTGAGTTGTACTTATAAAAATGCAAAGCGACGGACTTCTGGGTGGTTGTGGGACAAGGCTGGTTATTAGTAAACATTTAAATCGACAATCGCTATATGGCTGTATAAGCAGCGGGAGAATGCGATTCACTCTCGTTTCTCTTCCTCTTTTATATATATATACACTCTTTCTCTCTTTCTCTGAATCGTTTTCGCGTGCCAATTTTATCTCTCTCTCTCTCTCTTTCTTTCTTTCTTTCTCTCTTTCTTGAGTAGAGAGAGAGAGAGAGAGAGAGATCGGTTCGCAAAGCGGAGAGAAAACAAGAAATGTCGCGAGACCACCCGCTAGGACCTCAAGGATCGAAACCGCGGATCCCAAGGAGGTCTATCCCATCTTCATGAATCAACTCGTTCCTGAATCGGCATAAAGCTTGCCTTAAAGGAGTTCTCCGGGGATGTAAGCTAGGTTTCAAGAGTTATGTTCGACTCCCGGTTCCTTCGAACTGAGAGAGCAAAAGAGGCGCGCGGCATTTACTGTTTGTGCGGACCCTGTTAAAAGTCGCGATACCAAAAACCGAATGACGATATTCAATTCCTTCTATATATTTATACTTCTAACAATTTCGATTCAAGATCAAGAAAATTGTTTCTTGCACATAAAAATTTTCATTAAAAAAAAAAAAAGTTATTTTTATTTTACAATTTCGTAATTTTTTTTTTTTTAATTAATGGCGATGATATGAACAAACATCGATCTCGTTCTCTTTTTTCTTATAGTTGGGTTAAAAGTAAACCAGCTCTGCATTATATTTGCTTTTATCGAGTTTTAACGGAACAACGGATTCCTTTATGGAAACGCCGTTAATTTTACGAGGCGGGGCATATTTAGCTTGGGTGATCGTAAAGTCATACTTTCGAGTCGCGATAAAGTTAAAACACCATCGGCCAGGCTTAAAGCAAAGTTTGGCTCGTAAATACAAGGGGAGTATGTTGAGAAAGAGGGGGCAAGTTACTTCAAACTTTGAAAACATTACGTTTCCAATTTGCCCCGAACAAAAAAAAAAAAAAAAAAAAAAGAAATTTTCTTCGTACGATATATTGATGCTAAAATATTATGTATTTTCATTTTTCAATATATGAAGAAAAAATTTAGTTACTGTAGCTAATATTTAGCTACTTAAGCCAATATTTAGCTACTTTACCTAATAATCAGCTAAAATTTAGTCTAAAATTAGGTATCTTAGCAAATATTTAGCAAAATTTTTAATCTGTTACCTAACATTTATCTAAAATTTAGCTACTTAGGATAATATTTAACTATACCTTAGTCAATATTTAGTTAAAATGTAACAAATATTCAGCCCCGTTAACTAATATTCAGCACAAATTTAAATTAGCTACTTAAGCAAATAACACATAGATACTTTAGCTAATATTTCATAATCTTGGCAAAAAAATTTTATTTTCTTTAGCAAATATTTAGCTTTATACTATTTTTTTTAAGCAAACAATACTTTTTTCAAATCATACTAACTGGAAACTAACCGGAAAATAAGTGAAAAATAATTTTTTTTGGATAGAATGTTTTCCTGGAAAAGAAAAGAAATTTTAAAAACTTACTCAATAGGTAATTTCTATCTTATTTATTTTATTAGCTGATACTTTTTTAAAGTAATAAATACTGTCCTTAAATCATACTAACTGGAAACTAACCGGAAAATAAGTGAAAAATAACTTTTTTTGGATAGAATGTTTTCCTGGAAAAGGAAAAAAATTTTTAAAACTAACTCAATTTAGACAATATTTAGTTAATATTTAACTACTTTAGCCAATTTTTAGCTAACAGTTAGCTGCCTTAACTAATATTTAGCTACTTTAGTAAATATTTAGCTAACAGTTAGCTGCCTTAACTAATATTTAGCTACTTTAGTAAATATTTAGCTAACAGTTAGCTGCCTTAACTAATATTTAGCTACTTTAGTAAATATTTAGCTAACAGTTAGCTGCCTTAACTAATATTTAGCTACTTTAGTAAATATTTAGCTAACAGTTAGCTGCCTTAACTAATATTTAGCTACTTTAGTAAATATTTAGCTAACAGTTAGCTGCCTTAACTAATATTTAGCTACTTTAGTAAATATTTAGCTAACAGTTAGCTGCCTTAACTAATATTTAGCTACTTTAGTAAATATTTAGCTAACAGTTAGCTGCCTTAACTAATATTTAGCTACTTTAGTAAATATTTAGCTAACAGTTAGCTGACTTAACTAACATTTAGCTACTTTAGTAAATATTTAGCTAACATTTAGCTACCTTAGCTAATATTTATCTACTTCAGCTTTGTTAACTAATACAGCTAACAATTTGCTTTCACAGTGAACATTTATTTACTATGACAATTAATTACGAGCTACCATAACTATAAATTAGCTATATATATATATATATATATATATATATATATATATATATATATAAGCAAACTCATTTTTCTTCGTGCGTGTAAAATTGTAGAAAATATAAAAATTAAATATAAAGAAAGCTGTGAGATTTGTCTGAAAAAAACTTGAATAATGAACCTCTACTGTTAATGGTTATATATATGCAGAAAGTCCAGGAGTTCCTGCTGAAAACACTATGGGTACAAAATTAACAGTTTGATGATATGAGTCAAAGTTGGAGTTGTTAAAGTGATAGATCATCGTTTCCCACCATCGTTCATTGCGTTGACATACAATTTTTCAAAAATTCAAACAGACTTTCCTTGAAAGGTGCAATGAGTTTACAAAAAAAAAAAAAAAGGAAA